ACTCTTTCAGGAACACAGCAAAGAGCATTTGCACGTCCCATTCAAGTGCTCATCAATTCCTCCTCACGCTACCCGACAGTTTCAGTTATATGAGTGAAATGAAAGCACTAAGCATAACTGGCTTTCCTGTTTCAGGATTCTCAGTGATTAACCCTTAGATCTGATGCATACAGGGGCAAAGGGAACAGTGACTTCATTGTAAAACTGAGTAGGCAAGCTTCATATCTGCTTACCAGCACATGCTTTAAGTAAGTACTGCACAGAGCCTTCCCATCTATGGTTGAAATGAGAAGCACATACATCTGACTTAAAAAACAGGAAGAAATAAAACTGCTGAATTTAAGCAATAACATAAAAACAAAGCAGCCTGAAAAGGAAGAAACAAAAACAGTAAAAAGATACTAAATCCCTTTGTTCTAGTGGGATAAAAGAATATCACATTCCAATTTCAAATGATTTATTTTCAGCCGAGGTCTTGATTCCCCAGCAAAGAGAAAATTAATATTTTCAAAGGACTGAGGAAGAAATGATAAGATGCTACAGGCCTTTTCTGTTTATTTGGCATCATTAGGATTCTGGACTCCGGAAAATATTCTAAAAGATGGACATTTTAGCATGTAGCAGCACTAGAAGCAAAGGGATTTAACAAGCACAGCACAGTTAGTGGCAAGAAACGCAGCACTCACAGAGGATGAGCAGGGCTTGGCCGCTTTTGGGCTGCACGGTGGAGAGCAAGTCATCTTCACGAGAACGGGCATCTCATCATCTGACACAGGGTTGGCAGGCTTGTCTTTGACTGTGGCAGTGGTGGCAGAGGGCTGCGTGCTGGGCTCGGGTGACAGAAGCTTTACAGGGACAGACACTGGCATGACGATGGGTGCGAGGCTATCCACCTCTTTAGGCAGCGGCTGCTGTGGTGGTTTCTCTCCTTCATCCTGTACAGACAATTAAAGGCTTTCAGCCTCAGTGAGGGACGGCTACTTCTGGACTGATATGCCATGCACTGCAGGCATCGTGGCTGAAAAGAAGTGGCCAGGGTTATGAAAGACACAGTAGCACCGCGGCTCCGATTCCACTGTTGCCTTGAATCAAGTCGGCCTATCACATATGACTTCTGCATAGGATTCAGCCTCAGTGCTAAACAGCCACATAAAATATCTTCACAGGATAACTCGTAAAAGGGGGAGATAAACACGTGCCCTTTTTGTGACGATGAAGGCAGAATTCCCCCATCACCCACCTAAAACCAAAAAGACACAGATGGCGTACTTCTACCAGTTCTTTGGTTTCCTGTAGTATTACCCGTTAGGATTGAATTTCTAAAATATGAGGACAATGAGAAACTGACTGACAGGGCAAGTTATTTTTATTCAGAACAATGCAAACGCAGATTTTTAGTTTGGTATTTGTTGATACCTATAGAACTAAAACACTTGGGAAGAAAGCTGTCAAAGTTTCAACAATCCTGCTCCTTCAATTAAAGCCTGGGAATGCTTCCAATAAACATCCCTTAGTCATCCCAAGTAGTCCAAATGAAAATAAGGAAGACTTGATGTTCCTGATATTTCTAATATAATAAACAAAACATGAGGGGAAAAAAATTAGAAGCTCCTGCCACGACTTTGTAGGGTGTTTTTGTAATGCGCAGAGAAACAAAGAGGCACAAATGTTTTTCTTTCCTCCTCTGTTGCCTCTCACTTTTAAGCAAGATTTCTGGCCTGTAAATTAGCAGAATTGCGTATATTTCTACTTCTGTAGTGTGTGACATAACAAAACAGCGCTGGGGAGAACAGGCTTTGATAGCAAAGCAAAGCATAGCAAAGCAAGCAAACATCAACATGAAAAGGAGAGAACCAAATATGGAAGTAAAATGAACTGCTACCTGTTTGAAGTTAGGAGATGCTCTTACTCCTCCATGTGACCTCATGTGACCATTTAGAGCAGGCAAACTCTTAAACTCCTTCAAGCATATTGAACATGTTAGCTTGTTCTTCGCATCAGCTCTCTCAGGAAATGTTTCTCTGCTCTGGCCACTAGTTTTTAGCATGGAACAGAAGAGGAGACATCAGTTTGGCATGTTCCCTTTGATGTAAAGGAAGCCTTTTAGTTGAGGATGTCAATAAAATGTTACAATTAAATAGTCATGAAGCCACAAGTAAGCATAGGGTGAATGCTGTGAAACATGCAGGCAATAACCTAGATCAGCTCTTTCCAAGGAGGGAAGGATGCACTCATCAAAACCCAGCCCTCCATTTGGGAAAGTCTGAGGGCCCATGGGTTAGAAGAAAAGATCTATTTGTGGCAGACCCACATTTCCCTACCTGTGACAGCACTTAATGAGTACTTGGACTTAAGGCCCCTAGTTATGGCAAACCACAATGCTGGACGATATTTTAGCCCTTCACAGAGGTGAGACCTTAAGAAAAATTGAAGATCCTTGCTGCCAGAGACAGAAATCTAAATAGTGTTTCATCCCTTCTCGTAGGGATACAATGGAGCTTTGAAAGCGTACTGCTCCCCTGCCTACCCAGAATACTTTCCCCTCCCTCCAAACTGCAACACTCATTTGCATTTCTCATGTTTAAAAAGACTAAAACGTGTAATACCTTTGTTCTGGGGACAGCGGCTGCAGTCTGCCATCTGACAGGTGCATCTGCTATCAATGAGGAGGGGGGGAAAAAGAGAAAAGTATTTTTCAGGGAAAACCAATGCATAAATGAAGGTCCTCACCACTTTATGTTTGCATTCTGCATAAGATTTGGCTAACGTTAAAAACATCTGAACTGAGAGCCTGATATTTATCTACCAAATTGTACCTCTTTGAGCATGGCTAGCGCATTTTCTTACACTCATCCACTCTTTGAAGCCTTCACTTTGACTCTCAGGTATTACTTTGGGAAATAAGCAGTTGATTACATCTTCATGTATATTCAAGCCCTCAGGTGTTGAAACATTAGCAGGAACACCCTGTGGTAACTGGGTTCCTCCTCACCAGAAACCGACTCAGAACTTCCCAAATCCTTTCTCATTAGGGAACCAATAGCCCCCACGATAGCAGCTGTGTGTTGCTGCCAGCCTGGCCTGAAGCCAAACCAGCAATGCAGACAGCAGAAGTCTGTTAACACGGTTCCCCGAGACACCCAAGCAACTCCCGTTGCTCACATCCCAACTTTCCAAGTCTCCTGCAACTGCTTCATTTCTGTACATTGCTACTCTTCTGCAAGTTTGTCCGAGCAGGATCAAAAACATTACATACCTGAGGCCACATGGTGCTGGGAGAGTCTTGCTGAGAGCTTTTGTTGTTCAGATGAACTCCTGACAGTGGCAGAAGAGTTCGATGAGGAACAGCGTTACCTACAGAATTAACCTCCTGCTGTGCGGGATCCTCCGCTGTCTCTGGTGGAGTGAGGCCAACATGAGAGTTCAGAGACTGACCTCGGCTCTCATTCGGATATTGCTTTTGCTGATCCTCTTGCTGCTGCAGCATACTCTGTGGGTACAAATGCCTATACTGTTCATGGGGATCTTGGTAGCAATACTGAGGCACTGCTCCCAACTGGATGAGCTGCACAGGATGACTTGGATCCTGAGGGTACTGGTGTGGTTCATGCATAGTCTTTGGGTCAGGTTCCCTGTGGTACGGAGGAAGCTGCAATTGCATCTGTTGTTGCTGCTGCTGTAACTGCTGCATGACAGGTTGCGTTTGATAATACTGAGCTATTTGCATTGGACACTGCCTCTGGTGCTGCTGCCGAGTTGGCTGTTGCTGCTGCTGCTGGATCTCTTGTAATGAGAGCCGCTGATGTCCTTGCTGCGACTGAGCATAGTATTGAGTCTGCTGCAAGTGCTGCATCTGTTGCGGTAAGAGCTGCTGGGACTGCATTTGTTGAACATGCGGCTGTCCTTGCTGAAACGCAGAATGTATCTGCATTTGCGATAAATGCTGCTGGTAGTCATAGTACAACTGTTGGTGTTGCATGACTTGCATTTGTTGCTTTTGCTGTGTGCTTGCAAAATTCTGGTGTGTTTGCTGTGGCACTGGTTGATATCTCTGTACGCTGGAAGTTACAGGCTGTTGCTCAACTGCTGGCTTCTGAGACAGCAGCTGCCGAAGCGCACTATCACCAGAATTATCCACCATTGAAGACTCAGTGTGCAAAACCTGAGCCATGTTGTTGACTTGAATTCTCAGATTTTGGTTAGCAAATACTTGTGTAAAGGAGTCCAATTTATGTAGGACCCCACTGGTAATTTTTTGTGATCGACTTTCACCAGATTGAGAATAAGAATATTGGTATCCGTCATGAGATTCCCCCTGCCCAAGGGGGCTCCACATTGCATTTTGACTATTCAAATTGTTTCTTACTGAGACATGGTTTCCTGAGACAGAATGCGTCCAACTTGTTTGTCTAGATGTATCCATTGACCCAAGACTTTTTGAACCTACAGGCAAAGCTATGCTGTCTCTTGAATCTTGGGGAAACTGAGGGGAGAGCGGGGACGCCTGAGGAGCATCCATAACAGATGTCCCGTAACTATGATTTAGAGATGGAAGGGAGTTCATGTGGTGTTGTTGGTAATACAAGTTCTCATTGTTGTTGGCAGTATGGTTGGTTTTATACAATTGCTGGTCCCCCATTTTTGGTCACTTCTGTTCCAAACTTACAGGCACACAAACCATTGAAATCTCTATGAACCCTGAGATAGCTGAATGAGGGAAGGGGAGGGGAGGGGAAAAGAAGCTAGAATTACTTATAATTCAGCATGTCCACGTGTATCACAAGGACTAAGATTCCCTCCAGTCTATCAGTAATTCCAATTTCAGACTCGACGTTGCTTCACATCTTCAAAAGAGGACCAGGGCGCAAATCTTGCACAGTTCAATAGGTTCAGTGCGCCAGGCACCTGTGGAGTAAGAGAAAAGCAAAGTAAGTGCTGGCCTTCTACATAAATGGTTATTGCCTTAAAGAAAATTAAAAACTCCTGGTTCGAAAAACAATCATAGGCAAAATTGTAGCAGTTGGGCTAGTCCACTGCAGGCAGTTCCAGCTGGCCAAATATCGCTCTCTTAAGACTAGGCTTTAGCCAGAGAGTCAACTACCAGGCCAAATCACCTTCCTACCATCAGTCATCTCGTCAGAAAGAATGCACCCATTTAATAACACTAACTCAAGTCGTACTGCAGACATCACAGATGCCTCCCCAAAGGCGTGAAAAGGAAGGTAAAAGAAAAACATAGCTTTGAATTAAAGCACTCAGATATCTGGGTGCGAAAAGACATACAAAAAAATGCAATCGCAGTCCAGGTTTTGCACAGAGCCTTTTACAGATTCTTACAACTTCCAGGGTATTTACAGGAGGTGTCCACTGGTGGTATGCAAATACAGTATAACTGAAAAATAAGAGGCAGGACTAATAGTTATTGCTGTGACAGTAAAATCACAAGCACCCAACCACATCTGTGCACATAGGTTTGTTTGTTCATATTCTGTACGGAATCAGATTAATGCTAAAACCAAACCAATCCATAGAAATCTTTTATGGACACCCAACTTACACAGGGATTGCTGAATTCCAACTTCCGTTCCATACCCTCTTACCCTTCTTCAATTTGCATTATTTCAATGGAGTAATTTATACTGAATGCAACCATTTCTCATTCTTATTGTGTAAATTGTAATTCAAAGTAACACTTTACAGATGTCTGTACTGTTTTCAAAGAATAAAACAACAACAAAAAATCCATAGGCACATTACAGGTCGTCTTACTATTCCACAGTAAGAAATGATCACTGTGTCTATACACATACATGCAGAGTCACCCTGTGCCTACACACACATAAAAGCATTTTAACACAAAAGAGGTTGATGCTGAACTTTAATAAGAGCACAAAACACAGCCATAACTCTGCCTCTTTCACATCTGCCTTTCTAAACGTAATGCTTTCCAAAGATTCCCAAGTACTGATATCCTACCTTTTTAAACTTAAGAGAGTCCCTGATCTGGATGGAGAAATGTGAAGTCACTGATGGAGAAAATTTTAACCATTGCCAGATGGATATTAACAAGCTTTGCGCTAGCAATAGCGAATAAGGTTTATACATAGCTGCAGGCACAACAAAAACTTTTCCATGCTGGCATAACGTATGACAGAAAACCATAGCTCTCAATGAAAACGCTTTCAGCGCGTACTCACAGGTTTTGTGTAAACCGTCTGCAACCATGAACACGTAACATTTTCACGTGACAAATAATAGCTGAGAATAATTGCAAGCTTATTTCCTCTTCCATAAATATACATTGCTTCATATTTTCTCTGAACACGCTCCCTTGCAGATTTTTACAGATGTACAATTGAAAAAAGATACCAGTCAACAATGAACGGTCAGGCTGCCAACAAGATCCTTCAGCCACAACCCAACTTCAAAGACTTCCTATTAAAAATTATGAAGAGAAACTAAACAAAGCCCACACAAAACAGTCAAAGGGGCTAAAAATAACACTGTGCAACATTTCACACTGAAAGGCCATCAACTTCCAGAGGAAGAGGGGAATCCTATACAGGAATATGCATCTCCTTTCACGCCTGCCCATCTAAGAAGGCTCAGTTGCAATACTGGGAACACATTTTTCCACAAGACGTCCAAAGAAAACAAGGCACTAGCGGGTCTGTCATAAATGGTGTGCTTGTTGTGTAGAGAAGGTGCGTCCCCATTTTCATTTATTAACGGTACTAGAATTTACATTACATTGTTGTTTAGCCCTTCTTTATAAGGTTTCTGTTTGAAGGGACAAGTATTAGTCACTAATAACAAGACCTAATAGTGATACAAACCAGTGAGTGAGAATAAATACTTCAGGAGATAATTAAAAGACCGCAAGAGTTGCAGGAGTAGGACAGTAAGAGTGCCTATGCTTAATGCATCAGAAAACCTCAATGTAATTTAGGTCTATAAAGGAATCAAATGGCTAGTCAGGCCCCTAAGACCCTAACCCTTCCCACGAATAGGGGCACCATGGTGGCAGATGCTACCTACCACCTGTTCTGGTGGCCACAGTGACTTACTTTTGCGGTCAGCAGAGGCCAGCCCCTGGATATGCACCACACTCTTGTTTATTGCACCTTTTCACCTGGCGGTTTACCTGTACCCAGTTCTCGGGGTACTGGAAAACCCAGCCACGAAGGTTTGTATTTGAACTGTTAGCACAAATCTCTCTCTCTCAAAAGAAAAGATGCTCAAAGACACCTCCTCTCCAACAGCCTCAGCATCCTCAACTCACCTCCCGTTTGGGAGGTGGGACACACAGCTGTCTCTTAGGTAGATTATAGAATTGTCATCACCGTTACACAGAAACAATGCATTTGTAAAAATCTGAAAAAGTTGTAACAGAATATTGCATTAAAATACCAATGAAGTGACAAAAAGATTACACAGCTTGGTCACTACAGGAGTCATATTTGAAAAACTGGAACTTTTTTTTTTTTTTTCTTCCAACACTCAAAGATGGAAACATTCCTTCAAAAATGTCACTGAGCAGGAGGGAGAAAAGCATACATGCCTAAAAGCTTTGTTTTCCTACCTTCAGGTAATGGGAAAAAAGCATACAAGCATACTGACAAAAGCATAATCAGTAATAAAACAGTCCTTGAGATACCAGCTTGAAGAGGCTTACATTCCAAGACTTGATGCTGCATACGCTGCGCATCTGCAATCAACTTTAATAAAATGCTATGGGTATACATAGCTTAAATCTATCGCATTGGATTAAAACTAGTAAAGAGTATTTCAGTGCTGTACATGACATTACTAAGGCTTTAGAGGCACAACAGTTAGTTCAGCTAAGAAGCCACTGGCAGTGTACTGAATGATTTCTGCTTCTTTCAATGACAAAAACAACTATTACTACTAAATGGTTAATCAAACAACTCAATTTCTAAAAGCAGCATGAGTTTTAGGGCAATAATGGTTCTGCAATTCTACATTTATTTTCTTTCCAGCAGTCATTTATGCTACTTAACCCATTACATTTTTGACATTACAGAATATATTCCAATTACGAAATCATTACAAAGAAACATGAAAACAAATGCAAAAGGACAGAAGCATTTCTTTAGACTGCCTAGAAAGAGAAACATCCTATTTAAGATTATAGATGGAACCTGGACTCAAACTCATGGGAGTTCAATTGGTTTCAACAGGGACAAGATTTCACTCCAACTCTTCTCTCATCGTTTCAGCATGGTCCCCTGCAACTTGCACAGCTCCACTCTCCAGACCGAAAGCCACAGACATGCCAAGCTTGCTGAAATAACTTTACACACTCCACCTGCCTCCTTCTTCAAATACAAGCAACCGAAAGGAAATACAAATATTACTAGTCTTTCCTGGAAGCGTGCTACAGCTTAATTTTGGTACACTTAAAATGCAAGAATATTCTAATGCGAGCAGTCTTCAGTAAAGAAGATGCAGCTTTCCATCCTTAACAAATTATATCTCTGAAGAGTCAGAATATCTTAGAGAAAAGGGCAGGCAGCAACATATCAGACAGATGGCAATTATAATACAGCCTTCCCCCCCCCCAAAAAAAAAAAAAAGCTCCCAAGCTCCATCATAAAACACATGAAACCTGCAGAATTTTTCAACTACAATAAACAACAGTCACAGTTACACTATTGAACTATCTGAATGCACACGAATTTCAGAGCAAAGCATCTACTCCAAGTAAGCCAGTGCTTTTAAAGTTGGGTTGGGTGCAGGCTGAAGAAACAGGACTGAATGCCAGCCAATTTCAATTTCAACTAAGTTAGTAGAGAGGGATGACAAAAGACTGTACCAGAGCGGATGCTGACGGAAGCAGACTCATTAATGGGCCGTGAAGTTGTTATAGCACTGATCTAAGCTGTCTCATTATGTTGCATGGCTGTGAATCAAAATGCAATTGGATCCTATACTTTACCCAACTTACTCCAAATTTTTCAGCAGTCATTTTAATCAACTACAGATGAATTAAGAGTCAAAAAAGAGGATGACTGGATAAGGACTTTGATTTCCATGCTTAAGGAGGCAACAGCAAAAAAGGTCTCAATGCTCAACAGGCTTCTGCAGGACAGAGCACTTGCAGCTACTCACAAACAACAGTAATAGCAGTATTTGTTGGGGCAAAATCCCTCCTTATGTTGTCAGCAACTGTAACACATAATCAGTTCAAATCAGTGACTGCTTTTAGCAATCTAAACAATATTTTTTGTAACACTTAACTTAAGGCATGTCTGCTTACAGAAGTGTCTCTCTGCCGTGTGTTCTCCCAACAGTGGAAACAGCTCACTAACATGTTTTAACCATGTCCTACTGACCTTAATTCGGGCAGGCTGAGACAAGGCTTTCTCAGGTGGCTGTCTTTTTGTTTTCAGAATATAAAACTTCATATTTAACTATGGTAGGCCAAAATCCCAAAAGAGACGTTCTCTGTTGCCTTCCTTTATTCCTTTCCTTTAAAATTCGCCTCCTACTCAGCTTCAACCAAAATAAAACAGGATTGATCTTATTCAATTTTTAGCCTTTTTATTGGAATGCCTTTACTGGCCTGCTCCGTTATTCAGAACGGTGAAATATTTTGCTGTGATGCACCCAAGTCAAGACAACTGTCACTCACATCATCTCTTTGATTTTCCTTAGGTCTGATACACAATTACACAGCTGTTCCTTCTCTAACAGGCTCCGTCCTGTTAAGGCTGACAGTATCCCAGCAGCCCCTTTCACACAGGCTAACTGTAATCCAGCCTTTAGGCATGCGATAGTGCAGGTGGGCATGACTTCTAGCTGGGCAGCACCAATTGTACAACTACCACCAAAGACCCCCCAAGACAAGCAGCTTTAAAAACCAACAAGGAACTACATAAGAGAGGACACCCCAGCATTACTGAACCTCAGCTGCCAGGAGCAGAGCTACAACTATCACTACATCTTTGGATGCGAAGACTGCAGTTGTATGACATGTCTGGGAAGCACAGCAATGGGCGAGAGGCAGAGTGACATATTTCGAAGAGCTCCGTGCTCTTGCAGGCTTTTTAGACACCAGGTTTGCTTGCTTCCATAACTCTTCTTGCAGTCACAGTTCAAACTCGAGCTCTCTTTTTCTGGCACAGGAAATAAGCATGTGAGAAAACCAGCATAGTACTGAAACAGAATGCCAAGCAAGGTGGTTGTGTGAATTACCAGAGAGAAAAGGAAGAAGATAAGCGCGAAAAGGGTAACCCACATACCTATACTTTCTTCATATAGAAACTCTGAAGACACATCTGATGTAACAACAGAGAAGCAGGAATTGAAAATAAGGGCGACAACGTTTCAGGATTTTGGCTGTACTCGCTAGAACTAACGCCAGAGTAGCAATACGGATTTCAAGGACCAATGGCATTTTTATACAACGATCTCAAAGACAAATGCCTAGAGCTGAAAACCATTTTGACTCCAATATTGCACACAATTGCTCACGTTTCCTACTGCACTTCAATTCTGACTTGCTTTGAATGGCAGAGGCCTCAAATCCATGCCCATATCTGCATACCAACGCAAAGGCTGGAGTCATTAGGCAAAAAAAAAAAACAAAACCAAAACCAAACGAAACAAAAAGAACAAATACCACCCTAGTGTATGAGAACATAAGCAAATAAAATAATTGCAAAAAATGAAAAGAGTATGTAAGGGAAGCAAAGTGTTTAGTACAATGATTTTATAGCAAAGATAGCAAGAGAGCTATGCACTCTTAAAAGGCAAGGGGAAAAACAGATTATCTGCTTTTTAATATTAATGCTGGTAAGTCTTCAACAGTTGCACAAATCCTTCAAAAATTATCATTCCCTTTGCAGCTCAGCTCCTTCTGCAGTGCAGTTGGAAAGGCTGCTGATTCTCATGTGGCTGCTCATTTAAGCTGTTCCCATTTCCACTCATAAGAGAGACTAGGATGTCCTAATTCAGTTTAATAAAGAACACGTTGGATTTGGGGGAGGGGAAAGGAATGTAGGAAGAGGGAGGGGAACCAAGCAATTTCTCCACTTCAGTAAAGTCTGGGGGAAAAAGCCCAGCAAAAACAAGAGTTTCTGATCATCTCAGGAAAGTCTCTAGAAAAGGGGGAGGAGAAAGGAAGACAGACAGACAGAAACATTTCCCTCTCCTTTTGATGCAATTTACAAGTAGAAAACACATTCTCAGGCACTGGTAATTTAATGACATTTTTTTCCTTAAAACGAGCATCATTCTTATTATTCAAGAAGAAGGGGTTGATTTCTAAATGAAACCATTAACTCGGTTTTGTACAAGGGAGATAAAGTTGCAGGAATCCCAAAGAAATTTAGAAGGCTGCTACCGTAAATTTGACTATCTTTGTCGTCAGTTAAATAGTGCTACAGTTTCAAGATACTTTGAAGGGCTCTCAGAACTGCGACTGAAGCATGTATCACATTACTGCATAAAAATGGCAAATATAAAATGATGAGATCACCTCACAATACTCATGGAAAAAAGTAAAATACAGACCTTTACTACCGCCAGAAGGGCCTTTGAACTGATCATGCTAAGACTGCATGACTAAAAAGCTTACAGAAGACAGGGTTCTGTAAAGGTGCTGATCACCTGTGATAAAGACACGATTTTTAGTATGCACCAATACATTACTGCATATTTGACCAAAGCGGAAGTGGTCTATGGAATGTCGTTTCTCTGACATGTCTTAAGCTGATCGCGGATTACTGACTGTTTATACGAAATAAATTGTAGTACCTTCTGGTGAGCCTTAGGTCAAGGGCAAAACTTTTTATACAGTTCCTGGAAGATATACACGTTCCATTATCAAAACTGCCCTCAATTTATATTTTGGTTTATTTCTATTACTGAATTGACTGAACTGAGTGATTTGTTTTGCCCCAGCAAGCCCCTCGCGCTGCAGACCTGACAAGACCTTTGCACAGAAGAACCTAAGAACAGATATGTTAGACCTTGCCCACTTACTATACGCAGCAGGTATGTTACCATCTCTGTTCACCGCTGTTGTTGGCGGGGGGTGGGCAGGGGAGGATTTTTTATGCCTTTCCACTCAAACGTCAATCCATCAGCTGTCGTTGAGACCACAGCAATGCCAAATACACTATTTCAGTATGAGGTGAGCACCCTTCTAATACGCTTGAACAGCTTTTTCCTAACCTCTGCAGTGTTTATGCTCCAAAGCTTGTAATGTGACTGCCTTTTTCTGTATCTACAAATGTTGTAAACAGTCAGAGAACATATGCTGGGATTTGCAAAAACAGGCAAGAAGGAAACATCCTGAGACAGATAAACAATTTAAAAAAAAATAAAAAGCAGAAGAAATAGCATGTGGGAAATAGCATATGGCTAAGTTTCAGGAGGGAGCAACAAGCTATCTTGAGCCCAATGCCTCCCCAAAAGCCAAGTGACTTTTCAGAAATGCAGCTGCAGGACCCTCTGAAAAGCCAGTCCCTCTAAAATACATCATGTTGGTACCTAGCAACAGAGCCATGTAAAATCTAATGGCTTTGAAGAACTGAACATCGTGGCTTCTTTTATTTTTAATCAAGATAATGGCCATTTTGCTTGTAGCAGACAGTATAGCCAAGGTGGGCCTTTAGAAGATTTACATGTCTGGGCATCTCCTATGACATACATATTGGGATACATAAAATAATGTTTTACAGGACCCAAAGCCAACACACAAGTCATATTTGAGAAGTCCATCGATAAAGCCGCAGGGACGCAGAAGCACAGCCTTTGGAAGATGGTCAACAGGTGTTGAGCCTCATTTAACAAGCCAGACTCAAAAAAAAGCAGACATACAACGCTGCTATGATTACCTGATTTGCGAGTATTCGTGAGACCGCTGCTTCTTGCTGTGTTGTCTTCGCCATAACATTTCATGCTGCTTTCATTCTGGGATCTCAAAGTGACGTATCTAAACATAAAGGAAAAGAATGGAATTTTTTTCCCCACATGATTACCTCATAAAATATCACCAACTTGCCCCAAGCTATGAGCAGACCTGCAAGAATGAACTGTCTATTGTGACACAACCAATTGCTAATATTCAATATGGCAACCTCATTCTACTCCGTTCTTCAATTTATTATTGCAGAAATCATCTATAAGCACTATAACTCCATTAAAAAAAACATATACACACAAACAAAAATCCCTTTCCCATATTGATAGCTAGAGATTGCTTCACTGTCAAAGCTCTGGGATTGAAACTTCCATGTTCCTTCAAATGACAGGTTGAAATACTAGTAAATTCATCTTTTCTTATTACTCAGTTTGGTTCCTACTGCAAAAAGGAGGAATGGTTTGCGCTGATGCAATAAATAAAACAAGATTGTGCCTCTGCTGCACAGGCTGTAAAAATTTCACAGCATCTTCTGCGTCTTCGCCAGAACCCAAAGAGACGCTAGACGCTCGCACAGAGAAGGACAATTTGCTGGCCCAGAATTTGCAACCTACACTGTTACACAACAGAGAGAAGGTTCAGCAATCAGGAAGGGAGGGATTAATGAAAGTCAAAGGTGTGGGAGATACAATCAGGTCGTCACCCAGTTCAGAAGAGATATCTAGACGAGGCATCTAAAATTATTTAAATGAAAACAACACATTCTTTTTGTAGGTGCTGCTGCCAAAATGGCTTTTAGGGAAGGCCCTGAACGAAACAAGCCTGGAAGCTTAAGGTGTGATTCACAGTTCCCTGATGTCAATGGGAAATTTTCCGTTCATGTCAGACCCGGCTAATAGATTTTGGAAAGTCATTCCAGCCATAAGAGACAACCTTATAAAAGACTGTTTGTGAGAGAAGGGCACAGATAACCTCAGCGACCCCGACCAGAAATTTCCTCCTGTCATTCACTGGCTGCTTGTCACCTTCACACTAGATTTACTTGTTCAAATTATTCTTTAAAAATCCCTGACAATAGGCTCCAGGCACGGTGACGTAACTACGTGCAGCAAGAAGAAAAACTCAAAATACCCAAGTAGTTCCTTAATAATAAAAACAAAACAAAACAAACAAAAAAACCCTTCCCCCCCAAGTAAGGAAAATAAACCCAAGTAGTCCAGTACTAATCTTTGCTTCACACTCACGCTCCGTAAAAGCCAAAAAGACGGGTTCACAGCACAATCCAAACACTAACACATTTGATCAAAATATCCAGCGTGGGAGATAAAAGTTCCTTATGAAGCCTAACCTGCCCAAAATGCCTTTCTTTTACAGAACACCTCGGCTGGTGGTAAATTCTGGTAGCACCGCACAGAGAGACATGGACTCTCCTGGATAGCAGCAAGTTCTTGCTTACAAAATTATCGGGTTGAGTCATAGTAACTAGGCTTAGTGCACGCCCATGTCTCATTACAAATGTGAGCTGAAATGCTACAGATGTCACAGAGAGCAAACCTCTCGCTACCTGCTCTTATCCTATCTGCTGACTGCTCTTCTCAATAAATTCCACCTTTTAAGTTAAACTTCTGTAATGACTTGGTACGTGCATTCAGACAAGATTCGTTTTAGTGAGGCCACATCCGCTTAATGCTTTGTCCAACTTGTTTTATCATACTAGTATTTAACACTTAAATCTGTAACAGAGATCTTGAACCTTCAGGATGACTGATGTGCATACCATCGCTCTGTGTTTGTAATAGAAAATATTCAGAAAGATAGGGAAAACTTGAGGTTAACTCTGGTGAAGCCAAAAGGGAAAACATCTCTTTCTCCCCTCCGTTTAACACAGCTGTTTAGAACTTGCCACAATCTGTTTAAAGAAATTAAGAAATAACTTCACTAAGAAATAACTGCTGTATCACAAGCAGTGACCAAAGCCACAGTACATAGTTTTGTTTTCTTTTTAATTTATCTATCTGCTCTGGAACAGTGAACACTAGCATTAAACCCAAAAATTCCAAGGTATTCTGCAGATGAACTATCTCTGGTAGCTTCCTACAGCAGCCAGGCAGAGAGATGGTGGGAAAAGCAACAATAGGAATGCCCCAAAAAGCTCTTTCCCATTTCTCTTTTTTCTATTGTCTGCTTTTCCCACTATGCCATTTTTATATTCATTTATGCTTCTGAGTCATTCACCTTTATTGTCAGAGCTGTAAAAGTACCTATGTGCAATTGGACGTAAATTAGCAGACGTGTGCAAAAGCTCTTATACATAATAACATAGGCTAAGAATGAAACATCGGGCATTAGGGGGCCAGAGGTAGTGAATAAATGGCTGATAAATACTGAAAGTAGTCCAAATGTAACTAACACAGAACCAAACACTGCAAAAATACATAAAATGCTCAAATAGTGTCTTAACCCTTGACAATAGCTTTCATTAAATTTTCATCAGTTTTTATTAAAAAGCAACCTAGATCTATATTCCTTTGCTATGTTCTCCCATTTTGTTAATGTCTCAGTCTCTACAGTCTACATATAATCTAAGCACACTACGGAACAAATGAGTAGTAAAATCTACAGCAGCATTTACAAATGAAAAGCTAAGTCGGAGATCAGCTGTCCTGTATATGAAATATAAATTTTTGTTCTTTGCTCCTCATTAGGATTGATGACACGGCTGGAGAATAAGGAGCATATAATACCTTTTATGGGAATGTAAAGCACCAATGAATTAATGCAGAGAGAATGCAACTAGATCAATTTTTCACCTCATGATAGTAATGGAGTCAATTTCTTGAACTTTACTATGCTTATAACATATTGATCTGATGAGCTTCATACTGAAAGACATTTTTCCAGGGGAAAAAAGGGGAAGACTCTAGGCAACATACCAAAGGTCATGGATTTTATCTGCACTTAGACCAGCCGTGTTATAGTTCAGAAAAATCAAAGCTTCCATCCCCCTGGATGTTACTGCAAAACATCACGAGAAGCATTCCAAAGGAACACTAAATTAGTGCAGGCAGAAGCCTTCACAGAACGGATTCAAGGATAAGCAGAAAGAAGCACTGCTTCTCTGGAAGTGATCACGCAGCCAGCAGTATTGGTTATGCTACTTGAGGCATTACATTGCAGCGGCAGCATTTTTGGTGCAACGCCTCAGCTCTCTTCAGCTAAAGCAAAGACAATTTCCCAGAGATCTTCCCATCCCTGCTGTAGCTACGCTGAGCTTCAAGACACTGATCTCCTTCCTGAGTTTCTGTTACTGCTTTGAGGCCTAACAGAAGATTAGGACAAGGCGAAGCTTTGTTCAGAAGACGAAGATGCAACACGCTCCCACCATGAGAAGCAGTGACACTGAAGAAAGCAATGCAAATACTCCATTTGCTCTTCCAGTTTGTCTATCGCAGGCCATACGCTTCCAAGAGCAAAGCTACAGCTACAATCGTGTACAAGATTTCAGATATTAAAAGAACAAGATAGATCAAAGATAAGGACACAAATACCATCTACCAAAGGAAGATAAATGTTTCTAGCAATGTTGGACACGCACCCTCGGGAATAGCTATATTTACTAAAACAGGATGGACTTTTCTATCATTTAACATTAGGAATTTAACTGAAGTATAAGAACTGGTATATTACCAGAGCACTGAAAATGTGTTCCTCTGAGAATACAAAACAAACAAGTAATCTGGAATTTCTCTTCTTCTCCGACACAGTGACAGCCTGTCTATCCAACCCTACACAAACACCAGCTGATAACCTTCCCATGAGTTGAAGAAACCTTACCTAGTTTAACTGAGACACAAAAGGCTTCTCTGCTGTATTTCCCATTGTTTCTATTACAACAAGGGTTACAGAAAGCATCCTGTTATTTAAATTGTTTGGTTATGATTAAACAGCGTTTAAATTGTTCGCTGAACAAAAAAAAAGGAAAATTAAGCCATCCTAAGATAAGAAAGATAACAAAGAAGAATAACAGACTACATGTATCAAACAAACAAGACCAACAAAGACAATAATATCAAATGCTAAAGGTAGCACCACAAATAATAGAAAAAAATACCAGAACTGCTGTCATCAGTTGTGTACCATTAATTTGGTTCACTTCTGCATCTCCATCTGAACACAGTCTCTTCCCACATATCGTGAGTCCTCTCTTAATCACCTCTGTGACTTTGTTGCCCTCCCCCAGCCCATGGCTCAGCTTTTTCGCTGCAACTTATTTCCTAGAGAGTACTCAAATTCTCCTCTGAGGACAGGATTCTTCATGCATGTAAGATGTTTCCTTTTATGTACTCATTTCTACAGCTTTGAAATGCTTCAGGAATATTGTATTACATTTATTAGCACAGCAAATCTCTTAGACAAATGGCACATCTTACAGATGAGATGCTATAGCACAGATAAATTATGAATTTCAAAATCTATTAGTTTTTCGTGAGCAAGATCTAGTGCTTCAGATAACAGATACTGTGCGACGCTAGGTTCCATTTAAAGCATAGCTTTGACTTGAGATACTGTTTAGATGTCTACCATTTACATAAAGCAAACGGGTGTTCAAAGCAGAACCCAGGAAAAAGCATCACACGGAATTGATGACTACCTTGGAGAAGCCTGCCTTAAAAGACTGCATCACATGGCCACTGTGTGGTAATGACAAGGATATAATCCAGCTCCCTTGGGCAGCATTCAGTTTCTTATCCAGGAGAAAATATTCTTTCCCCAGTTCCCTGCATCTTCCACTACATAACTTCAAACCAGAGCAGAAAATGAATCAGGGATCCAACACAGCCTTCCTCTGCAGGAGTCTGATTTATCTTCGCAGCAAATCCATCAAGTCCATCAAGCCGGACAGGAATTTTGAAGGGGGAGGAAAAAAATAATACTGTTGTTTAAGGATTTCTCATAAAGCGCATTTATGTAAAACAAAGCCAAACTGAAGTTACAAAGCATACTTTCGTTTTTGCATTTAATCTTGAAGAGCTTGGCTTAATGTCCTTTTTAAAGGACACCACATAGGTAAG